CCCCAAAACCCCAAAACCCCAAAACCCCAAAACCCCGAATAGATTAAAAAGAATTGACAGATTGTAATTTGGATTCAACATAATTAAATCTTGGCCAAGGAGAATAGTCTGAAGTGTAATATCTAAGAAGTTTCTGAATTGAGTCATCCGGAATCTGTAGAATAAATCGGATCGAGCAGAAGCTATAATTTTTATAATTTTGGAAACTTACACTCTCAGAAACTTCAAAATCTTTTGAAATTAAAAAGTCTTCTTGGCCATAACTGTCGGTCAGCCACACACTAATTCTGGGAGTCATGGATAAGCTTAGTTTTATAAGATAGATTTGGATCATTGTTGGAACCAAACTCAGAAACAAATAATGAGAGAAAATGTAAATAACATATCCAAGCTTGTTGTGGGTTAGAGAATTACGTTTCCACTCTTTAAAGAAGTCATATTGAGCCCGAGTCATGATAATACTACCTCTGATTTCAAAAACAATGAAAATTACTATGGCGCTGATGGCTAATCTCCATTTTATCTTACTACTTAATCTAACTCCTTCAGTCTCCGGTTCTATTTTTTTTGAGCGCTTTATAAAATAAAAACAAAAGAACTACAAAAACTCCACCTGTTATCATGTAAGATCAGGTAAGAACAAGAATTGGAGGTGTGACCTTAGTTGAATGGTCAATTTTTTTCTTACAAGTTTGTACACCACCAATCACGAAGGATGTTGCCAATGCTACCAAAATGGTCAGCATAATTGTCCAAACAATTATCTGGTGAGTCTTATTTCTTCTTCTTCGTTTCTGAAGTTTCAATATTTGTGAAACATAAGTGAAGGATAGCACAATAATTGTGTTGAGGTACATGAAATAATTTATCCAAAATGCCCAATAATTTAATCAAGGATTCTTGTATTTGGTGCACCCATCGTGGCTTTTAAAATATGCTTGAGAAACTCCATAGACAATATCTCATAGAATAGATAATGTCAGGAGACTCATAAAAAGACTTGTCAATCTATGCTTAATTCCATAGATTCTTAAATATTTTACTAAATACCTGGTCTGGACTAGGAAAGTAAGGAATCCTAATAATGAGTATATGGTCAACATAGTAATATACGCTGTTCATCTCTCATTGGGCTCATTTCTTTCCATTTTACTTGATTTTTGAGATATTACAATTATTTATTATTATTCTGGGGTTTTGGGGTTTTGGGGTTTTGGGGTTTTGGGGTTTTGGGGTTTTGGGG